GAAAGCGGACGAGCGTTTTGCAATTGGTGCCCTAAAGTTGGTTAAATAGAATAATTAACAAAAAATTTATTTTATTTATCCAAAATTACAGGCGCTGTCAGCTAACATGTGAAACAATAGACGTGGAGAATGGCATCAAAGAACCGGAGTTAAGTTGGTTTTGGCCGGAGCGCGAATCAAATTTAAGTGAAGAAGCTAATGAAGCCCCAGAAGATATTGCAATAGCCGACGATATTAGCGACGAAGAAGAATTCACGCCGACAGAGAAACTTGAAATGTTGACTAGTTATCTGCGCACTTCCTATAAGTTTTGCTTTTGGTGTGGAGTCCATTACAAAGATCAAGAGGATATGAGTACCAATTGCCCAGGAGAAGGACGCGATGATCATTAACGAGCAACTTTTTAAACAAAATCAATAAGCTTATTTAGCTTAGGTATTAATAAACTTTACTCACAATAAAATATAGAAACTTACTATAGTGTACACTTGACATATCGAACACCTTCAAAAGGGGCACAATTAAAAAAAAGTTAGATCGTTTTTATCATAAATCATTTCGTAGGATTTAAATCCAATTAATGCAAATATTTTCTTCCGATTGATTGTATTCTTTCATTTGAAAACTACTGTTATATCTGTTAATGTGTTGAATCTGTAAGATCCTCAAGTAGCTATATTTTCGGATCTGATTTCTGAGTTGTGCCTCTTTCAAAGATGATGTGCGATATGCAAGTTTAGTCGTCATAATTAAAAAACAAAAAATGCAAAATTTTTGCTAAATTTTCGTAACTGCATATGAGGTGTAAAAAATCTCAACAAATGTCGTAGTGAATGTATGAGTTGCTAAACACGTCCATCCAACTTATGTATTAAATCTTGAGTCTTCTCAATCACACTGTATATAAATGGGCGCTCCATCGGATCCATCCGAAGCATATATTTAATCAAATCATGCATATCTTCCGAATATACGGAACTTTCAGGAATGTTGATGTTACCACTCAGAACCGCTAAAGCAACGCTATCACCTTTTTCGTACACCGAATCAAACGGACAGTGAAAAAAGCACATTGCATACAGTACGCAACCAAGAGACTGAAAAAATAATAAATTTATAAGTTCTACGTGTTACCAGACGGAATTCAAAATTTGATAGTAACCCAAATATCTGTACGTTCATCTACAGTAGAATACGACTTCACGGAGAACAATTCAGGCGCACGATACACAATCGAACTGCGTTCCTCAGCTTCATCTTGCAGCCGCTGTGCTTCATTCTGCCCACAGATTTGCAAACGCGCCTCTGTCATAGAGCCTAGATCTACAATTATCGGTTCAAAAGTGTCGGACAAACAAATATTTGCAGTTTTAAGGTCACGATGTGCAAGCGGTACTGGTTTAGTTTCATGTATCGCCCTTAAACCGTTGCATATACCAAGGAAAACCTGTAGAACTTGAGGTTCGGACATGTGATCACCTTTACGTGCACGCATTTGCAAATGATCTGCCAATGAACCATTCTTATAGTATGGTAGTACAATGTACAGGTCGCTCGTTGTATTAATGACAATATCCGCTGATCCTTTCAGCTCGTAGTCTACTACTTTGATTACATTCTCTGAATCAATACGGTGACAGTTTTCGATTTCTCGCACGGCTATATTTTGGTCATCGATACTGTGACAAGTTATACGTTTCACCGCATACAGCTTGTGCGTTATAGAATTTTCCGCCAGGTTTATTAAGCTGAATCCACTGTAAAAATACACAGGGAATTACAGGCTACAGAATCACAAAATATTAACTGTGTCTTACCCCTCTGCCAGCCGATCACGTATAATGTATTTAGTTCCTCTGATGGTAACCGTTTCTTTGGAGCAGAATAGACAACCTTTTTTCATTATTAACATCCATCCTAAGCTATTCATCGTGGGCTGGGTAGGTTAGATGAGTGGCTGGGGGTTGTTGCAAGCGAAGTTTGGTGACTGAAACGTTAAATTAATGGGTAAACTTTCACTAATTTTACTATCTAATGACAAAATAAACACTAATGTTTTAAGGAAATCAAGATAAATAGTCGGATCAGCGCAATGCAGACGAACGCAATTTTTGGAGCAACAAAAACAAACCCACGCACTGATTTTCGTTGGTCAACAATCAGCTGGCTGTCCAGTTCGCGCTGTCAAACACATAAACAGGGTGTTTTAAATAAATGGTAAAAGATTGGTGATTATGAAAGAGGAATACATATGGGCTTTCCTCATTAAAAAATGGGTCGCGGAAAAACCTAAATTCAGCAGATTTCTGCGCTGCGGGCTACAACTACAGAAAAATTCTGCGGTGTTTAGTTTCCCTTTACATGGCGCTCTGGTAAGATAGATCGTGTCAGCTGACTCGGGTTTACGTACCGGTAGGTTTACGTTCTTGACTAATTTCAGCTTAAATGTTGGTTGGGTTATGTTTCCTTGTGCGGGGAACAGCTGATTTTACAGCAAGTGTCAATTTGTTCAATTCTACAGAAATCACGGAAGTTAAAATTACTTAAATTTAATATGGATATTGAAGACAACTCCAGCCGAAATCCTCTACTAGAAGAATGCTGTGAAGATTTGTTTGGTATACATCTGGATCCTCCAGATAGACGCGACAAATGTGAGAAATGCAAGTGAGTTCCTGGTTAATTTGACTGCATATCCAGTTGATTTAAGCAAATCTCCGCTCGCAGGAGACCAGCTGTGGTCTGTTGGTGCCCATCATTACCCAATCCGCCACTTGACATCAAATCTGCGATTGTTATATTGCAACATCCTGCCGAGGAGAAGCGTTCCCTGCGCACAGCCTTAATGCTGCAACTTGGCGTAACACCCGGAAAATGTGTGGTATATAAAGGCAAACGATTTCCATCGCCAAAGAATCAAGCCGAGCTAGAACCAATCCTAAATTCACCCAATTCTTTACTACTTTATCCGAGTAAAGACTCTGTGCCTATAGAATGTGTTATGGCGCAAATAAACACAGATCAAGATGAACGGAATGAGGAACAACCTTTTACTTTGGTGCTTATTGATGGTACATGGCCACAGGCAAAAGCAATTTATGCTAGCAGTCCCATGCTGCACGGCATGCGACAAGTCAAACTTATAGCGGCCGGCAATAGCGATTATATCATACGCACGCAGCCTACCGAAGGATGTCTCAGCACACTAGAAACAGCGGCGCAAGCACTATCGGTGCTGGAGCAACGCGCTGAATTGCGCCAACTGCTAGTACGTCCACTGCATACCTTGTGTAAATATCAGTTGGATAATGGCGCTGTGGAACACCAATCGAAAGAATTTCGCATTAAAAATCAACAATATCCTAAACAAATTGGTAAACGATTAAATCGTTTGCTCAATTATAGTACAATTTGTCGACCTGAGGCGAGGGAAGAAAGTATGATGAATGGAATGGATACGAACTTACAACAGCAGCAACAAGAAACGTGAAAGTAGGCAGATTCATTTCACAAACATTTGTGTACAATATAAGTTGCGTTCCAGATGCTTCCGGATTTGCAGGAAAAGCTTTTTTCTCCATTAATAAACCTTATGAAAGATGGTCACCTGGAACGGCTTCCTGTAAAAACCTGCATATCGTGAAGCATCTGCAACGCAACTATAGCTTTAAGTGCATTTATTTTCTTTTATACATATGTATGTATGTATTGCTAGTTTGTTAAGTATGTAACTTGAGTTTATAGCAATTTTTTAAGTGCGCATAAAAATCATGAAATACTTGCAAATGTAAGTTTGTTAGAAAATCTGTAAAGATTTGTGCAGAATCTCAGAATCAGAAGCCTTAAGTCAATGTTTGATTGTCCGCAGCTTCAAGCGTGCGTTTCATAAGACACTTGGCTATGGCATAAGTACGCACACATGCATTTACTTCGCTTTCTGAAAGTTAAATCGTTTAAAAAATAATATTTTTATAATACATTAACTTACCTGATTCTGATTCACATAATTCAACTGAATCGGCGATTATTGACCACATAGTTTGCATTATCAGATCCTTATTTAAATGCCAATTTTTTATTAAGCCCGACTTTTCCAAGAAACAACGTATGAAACACTGGAGGAATACAAATAAAGTGTCGTGGTTGTAACGGTAACAAAATATTTGGTATCAACGTTTTGGTTTTGTTTTTTTTAATTAAAAATGTATAAATATTTGTAAATGCTCTATTACCATGCCCGTTTTATCTGTTGTGTCTGACATCTCGCCCGTTGTGTTGAATTGCACAATGTAATCTGTTAAAAAAAAAAAATCGTATATCTTTAATGTTTTTACAACGTTTCAGTTATTAGCTTTCAAGTACAAATATACCCATTGGTATAGAAAAGCTGGCATTGCAGGTACTCATCACTTCCTCAACATTAAAGGTATTGCTTCCATACGTTTGTGCAGCTATTGGTATATCTGTTTGGTCCGCAGTTATACCAGCCATAACTGACTGAGTTTTGTGCTGTACATAAATATCTCCATTATCCTTGGGCCGACTCTGTGCTCTAACCATATTGCAACAATAAAGCAGTAAAAAAGTAAGCGTCAGCTGGATGCATGCGTTTATACTGGTCATTTTTTCCCCTTGAAATACAAATGTTGGGCCTGTTCTGTATTACAAAAGCATCTGAACTCGGAAGTGTTTATAAATAATTGCATGCATGCTAAAATGCAGCCGCTTTATATAGCATCACGAGAAGTGCAGATAATTATAATCAAATTGGAGTACTTTGTAATAGAAATAAACGCTTAGAATTATTTAATGATTTTTTAAATTTTATATGCATTAAAATATGAGAATTGGGTGCATCACCAAGAAAAGTTGCGGGCTTTCCACTGGAGTTATAAGTTTTTTTTTTATTTTAAAACTTCCGTGAAACTTTTTCGGAAAGATATTAAAATTTACGTGCGCTGGACTGGTTTGAAAATATGTACCTCCAAAATTGTAATTATTTTCATTCTGCTGATTCGCTTTTTAATCATTTTTATGCAAAGCTGGTTTTTTGGAAGAAATATTTTTTAAAACAAATTTTATTTATAAAATCACGGGTTTTGAGGTATTTTCAAATCAGTCCAGAACACGCTGACAATTTTCTGAAATATTTTGGAGGGAGTCTTAAATTTTTTTTTGTATGGATAGTGATGTACCACCCTAATGTGTACTTTTTGTAAATATGATTTATATGCTAGATTATACCGTTAAATTTCCATTATCAAAAGTTGAAAACCAAAAAATCTGCCTTAACGCGAATTCCGAGTGATCACATAATCCCCTGCTTATATCCGCGAACCCTTCCATCGAACCGAATTTCTTGCAATGAATAGTGCTGTTAAAAAACCTGCGATTGATTCGAAAAGCGACACGGGTTAATAAGTATGTACAAATTCATACTGCAAAGTATTCGAGTCCGGATGTTTTGCTGTTCGAATCGCAATACAGAGAAGACCACCTGCCCTGGACTTGGATCACACAGGGAGTGGACCATACTGTTTTTGACGTCTTATGCTCTAGCTAAACGGCATGCACTGCTTCCACTACTGTTATTTGCCATTTGAGGCAAAATCCCCAATAGTGGCAAGCACAAATAAATTTTCCTCTCCCCCGATCGAAGAGATGACCGTCTTTATGGATCGACATAGTATATTGACAACTGGAACCCAAGTGTCAAAGTGGTACAACAGCTAAATTCTGCTCATTGCACACCAGATCGCACAATATCGTCTGACCGATGCAGATAACAACAGCTGTGATAACATCCTAGACAACCCTAGTAACGCTGGACTTGTCAAAGGCGTTTGACACCGTTTGTCATTGCATGCTCTAGAAGAAGATATCGAGGCTTTCTTTGTCCCACAGAGACTCAAACCATGGTCGTCGAATTATTTGAGTGTCGGCAGTCGTCAGAAAGCTTTCAAAATCAAACTTAAAAACCTAGAAGAATTAAGCAAGGGGGTTTTCCCTCTACTGTTTAACTTCTATACTTCGAAGCTTCCTCTGCCACCGGAGGGAATTTCCTAAATTTCATACGCCTAAGACTGTTCGATATTGGTGCCAGGGAATGGAATTGGTGACCTCTGCTAGAAAGTAAACGGCTACCTCTCCGAACATTCTCGCTTCTTCACTCCAAGCAGTCCCACCCTCTCCCCAACGAAGTCAACGGCGACCGTCTACCACCTGGACGAATGAGGTCAGGCTTCAACTAGGCATTCACGTCAATAGCACACCCGTTCCGACGGTGAACAAGCCGAAAATGTTAGGGGTTACCATTGATAGCCTGCTTTCATTCTCCGCTCACACAAACGCAAGTGTTAATAAAATAAAGAGCCGCGACAAGGCCCTCAAGTCGCTCCGCGGTAGCACCTGGCGCAAAGAAATGTTGCTGGCAAAATACAAGGGAATTGGCAGACGGGTTCTGAATCATGCCGAGCCTGTTTGGTCGTCGGGGACTAGTTGGATGCAGTGAACGAAGCTACAGAATTGTCAGAACGCCGTTCTCCAGGCAGTGACAGGATACCTTCTGATGTCGCCTGGGCACCATCTGCACAGTGAGACCCAAATGCTTTCCATAAGCGAGCTTAACAAAATGCTCAGCAAGCAGTTTCTGGTGGGATGTCACAGGTGTGATCAACCGACCAGACCCCTGCTTGAGGAAGAGCCGGTCATCACCACCTACCATGAATGAGCAAGGTTTTTACTCAACGAAGTGTACTAAACGATGGCTACACAGTCGCTGTTGTGCATGGAAAAGCGCCCAAAATGAAAATACACCTATTTATCGCTTCAACATCCTTCAAAACTTCTTCGGATAAGTTCCTTTTCTGTTCATTCCATAAATTGTACCAAAGAATGAGTTCACTGGCCATAACTATGTAGATCATAAATCTGTTGAAAATGCTTCCCGTTCTTTTGTACCTTTTCACTGGAACATTTAAGTTCTATCCACAATTACAGCGGACGACGCTAAAGCGGTTGGCGGTTAGTGAACAGCTGAACAGTTGCCGCAATGAAATTTCATCAGAGTAAACACAATTGCGGCGCACGACGGCTTCCGTCAGTTGTCATTTTGATTTTAAAATTTTCACTAAAATTAAATATTTTTTCGGTATGTGCTCTTTTTTTTGTTAATATTCGCAATGTTTTACATGGTAAATTTTTTTTTATTCATTTTGTTTTAAAATATGGGTTATGTTTTAGCAAATCCCATATAAATGCAAATTTCAAAATTTCAAAATTTCGAGTACTTTGCGAAAATTTCGAAAAAAATTAAAATTTTTGCAGTTTACTTGAAATTTTTAATTGGAAAATTTCCAAAATAACTGTATCGGAGATCTTTAAAATACTTTTCATTTGATAGCCATATTGTGATGTTTTAGTTAATTTATATATAATTTCGAATAGGTGGCAAGCTTATACCAGTATTCTCAATGATAACACCTGTCTACTTAGATAACCTTGAAATGTAAAATTTTTATCTCAATACAAAAATTTCATGAAAATCGTTAGAGCCGTTTCCGAGAAATTTATGGACATATGTACATGCATACATACACTTTCTTTCAGTCGCTTTGTGAGCTACTTGTTACAATAACAGTAACAACTTTGCGCTCGGATCAGTAACGAAGGCTATTGTCGCTTTGCGGTGGGCATACATACATACATAAGCACATATGTATGTGGTGGTTTGTTTTTTTCCAAGTGTTCGCTGTTGTTTGTTTTACATTTCAAAGTCAATGGCGCGCATTCATAGTCCAGCAACTAAGTCGAAACTAACGAAGTTGCAACTTAAATTTAAGTACCAACTTAAAATTTACCTCTATTCATAGTCGCATTTCAGACTTCTACTAAGTAGTTTCGACTTAGTTTACGATATAGCAAAATGAGTGTGAAAATGTATCGATTTTTCTTTACGATATTTTGGAAAAATTGCTTTTTTATTAAATAATGTCAAGTTTGATTATCCGTTTATGTAATTTTTATTTTCATTGCATGATTGTGCAAAAGAATAAAGTATCATTTTCTTGTTAATTGTGTGAAATAGCCAGAACAACCGCAGTGATGTGAAGTCGATGTTTATCGAAAGCATGCTGTGAAACATACAAATAGTAGATATCTAAAAGTTATGCACAAATTTACCTTAAAAGAACTAGCGTCAAACTGACTTATTATTTGAGAATTTTTCTAAATTATTCCAATTATAAATATGTGATTTAGCTTTATTCGAATTGTAATACGCATTTAATTTCATCTTCCGAATAAAATGGATCGATCTTTGTAAATTTTAATTGGAGATTATTCAATATTATCAAAATCTTCCTCTACCAACTTAATTTTTTACGTATTTCGTCTGTTTTCCCTTAATTTGATAAAATACTTCTTCCTAGTTACGACTTAGTTGCAGCTGCAGCCGAAACTAAATTTTAAGTTGGTACTTAGCCAGAAAAGTCGAAACTAAGGCGACTATGAATAGCTTTAGTTGTGACTTAGAATAGTTTCGACTTAGTTGAGTACTAAATATGACTATGAATATGCGCCAATGACTATTTATGTAAATATAACTTTAGTTAATGCGCGGGTGGGTGTGTATTTTTGCTGATACAAATTGGTTGCTTTCATTGCTATTGCCGCTTATTAGTGAGATACAAATTTTTTGTTCTGTAGGTTTTTTAAATCGTTTTTGTAATCACTCCACATGTTTTGTATTCACGCAAATGTCAACAACAATTATTTTCGATATTGTTCGCAGTTGATTAGTGGAGGACCATCGTATTCAATGCGAGCGAAAGGATGGCAAGTTCGTGGCTTAAGTCTTTTGTGATAGGATACTTCAAAAGAACTACATAGGTACTAAAATTTTCAACTTGGCTCTAGCATTTGTGGTAAAATTGTATGTATGTATGAATGCAGTGTTGTATGCTGTGATTTGTTCGTTTAGTTTCACCGTTTTCTTTATTAACGTTATTATGTCGAATGAGGCTTTTTGGGAAAGAAAAAAAAAGCAAAAAGATGGTTGAAATCGAATATTTGGCAAATACAAATTCTTTCAAATATTTTTAGTTTCTAACACATATCAGACCACAAATTAAGATTTAAGTACTGATTTTATTTATTATGAAGGCTAGGCCCTTACTAATGCGGGGCAGTGGCATACAACGCGGTAACTAAAACATAAGTCATTCAACTGTCACTGTCCGCACACAAGGAGGCTCCAACAATTCTGGAGTGTGCGAGCCTCATAAGACTACACTTTTAAGTAAAATAAGGGTCTAGGGTTCTTGTCGGCGCCAAACTTGAGACCTTAGCATCTTCCTTATTTTGGGCTTATCTAGGTCGAGCCATTTATGCATTTACATTTTTTCTGGGTTGGTATTCAGATAGTTTCCCTGGGCCAGGTTTCTATTACGCCTAAGCCGTCAAGAATTTGTGGCTACCTTTTGGTTATTAATAACTTTCACACCTAAGTCGTTCATCGCCTACAGCGCCAACACCTTTTGGGGACCGAATAGAAATGTGGAAAATGGGAAAGAATGGTCCACGGGGAGACTCTATTCAAA